CCGCCTGCCGCCAAGCCGCCGCGGGGTCCCCGCCCTCCCTGGGCAACGGGCCTCGGCTCCGCGCGGCGGGAGCGGGCGCGCCCGGCCCGACTCACCTCCGGCCTCCATGGAGGACGCGCGCTGTTCGCGCGGCAGGCGACGGGCGCCTCAGCCCCCCGGGCCGCTGGCCCTCATACCGCCCCCGCGCCGCCCACCCCCGCGCCGGCCCCGGCCCCGGCCCCGGCCCCCTCCCCGGCCCCGCCGCTGCCGCGCCCGCCGCCACCCGGAGAGGCCATCAGCTGCTTCCCGTCACATGGCGGCGGGCGCGGGCGGGGACGCGCGGGGGCGGGGCGGGCCGGGTAACAGCGGGGGGTGGGGACGCGGCGGAAGGAGACAGGGCGGGGCCGAGAGTCGCGGCGGAAGGAGATGGGGCGGGGCCGAGGGCGGGGCCGAGAGTGCGGCGGAAGGAAACGGGCCGGGGGCGGGGCCGAGCCGAGACCGCGTAAAACGAGCTGGCTGCGAGGGGTCGGCGTCGGACGCGGAGGAACGCGGGCGTGTCCCGCTCTGTGGGCGGGCGTGTCGGGCTCGCGAACCCGGAGAAACCGGGCAGGGGGGCTCACGAACTAGCTAAAACCTGCGTCGTGGGGTGGGGGTCGCAGGGAAAGGGGACGATGAGAGCTAGAGAAAGGCCGGGGGAAGCAGGGTCGGGGGCGTCGGGGAGGTGGGGGGCGAGAGGCAGTTGGAGAGCGGGGTCTGGGGAATGCCGACGGGATAGTGGGGCGCGGGACCCAGGCGGAATGGCGTGGAGGACGGAAGCGGGGCGCGGGCCTGGTGGGGGAAGAGGGGCCGGAGTGGAGATAGAGTGGTCGCGGAGCAGTGGGCCGAGGGTGGTACGGGAGGCGGGTGGGGGGGTAAGAGCAGGTGCGAGGAGCTGAGCCCCCTCCCCCGAGAGTGTCACCTCGTCCGCCTTTTTTCTACCTAGGCTTAGGCACTGCCCCTTTGAGGTCAGTTGGCTCGCCTCGGAACATTAAGGAGCCCCGGGAGGAGTGAGGAAAGGAAACTGAAAAGATGGCTTTTCTAAGTTGCCCTGTCCCCAATAGTCGTTGATGGCCTTGAAGTTTCTTACTGCGTCCAGCCAGTTTTAGTCTCCAAAATGCTCTCCACTTAAGGTTGCCGGGTTCTCTCGCCAGGTTTCCCCCGCGGTTCCAGCGTTAACTTGGGTCAGTCTCCCTCCTTCCTATTACTCCCTGTTTTCCTTCTCGCCCGGTCTTTAAACTTATTTGCCTTTTAACCAACCCTGTTTCCCGTGTTTTTAATTCGTGTTTTAATGTTTTTGGCTATTTTACCGGTGCCTATTTTGTGAACCCAGCCCGGTTCACCCCTCTTCCTTTTGCCCTCAGGTTCAGGAGCATCACCTCTTCGCCCCATTTCTTCTCAGGCCACCCGGGTGACACCTGTGGTTGGTTCCACCCTATAGTTCGGTTTTGGATCCCCGCTCTCTTCACATCCACCTTGTTCTTTGGCTGCCTGCCCGTTTTTTGCTGCCCACTTCAGCCTTGCCAGATCCCGTTTTCCTCCTCCCCTTTTCGCTGGGCGTTTTTCACCCAACCCTGAACCTACCCTTTTATCCTCAGCCCCAGTGTTGGTCTCCTCTACCTGGGTTCCTATTTTCTCTATCACCTAGCCTCCTTAGATCCCAATTTTATTCTCCAGTCTCCTTTGCTCAACCCTCCCACTTTTTAAAAAAAACATGGCTCCAGTCAGTTTCCTACACTCCCCAACCTCTGCCATTTTTCTCTTCTTCGATTTTCTCTTCTCCATTCTTTGTCTCCCAAATTCCTCACTTCTCTGGAGTCTTCAGGTCCTCATGGTTTTTTTTTTTTTTTGGTTTGTTTGTTTGAGATGTTGGGGACTGAACCCAAGGCCCTGTATAAAATGATAGGCAAGCAAAACTGTTGATTTTTGTTTTTCTGAGTTGGGGACCTGCAGATTTTACCCAGCAATGCTTTATTGTTGTTTTTCTGGGGGGTGGGGACTAGGGATTTAACCCAGGGTCAGTTTACCATTGAGCCACATCCCTAGCCCTTTTATTTTGAAACAGGGTCTCACTCAATTGCTGAGGCTGGCCTTGAACTTGTGATCCCTCCTGCCTAAACCTCTGGAGCCCCCACAGTACCCAGCTAATGTATATATTGATGTATTCCATATGTATAATCATGGAAAAGAATAAAAATAGTGACGGGAACAATATCGTTTCCAATATTAGGACAGCCGGGAAAAATTTTATTTTAGTCTGGCAAACTGGTTTTAATCAAATCTTTACATTTACTAGTCGGCTCTAAATCAAAAATCGCTGAAACATTTATTTAAAAATAACTTTATTCCATAATCTTAAAAAAATCCATAAACTCATAACTAATTTCTTCCAACTTTACCCACCAAATATTAAAACGTAAATAATGCAGAGGAATCTGCTTATTTTTCTTTGCAGCAGTTTCTAGCCAGTCCCATTATGAGAATATATGTTGGCACTTATTGCATCATAATAAATTCTGCCCAGCAACCATGATTCTCCAGGTTTCAGTGCACAGGTTATAGAAATTTTCCATCACGTATTTCCCAGCTGCAGTTATAGGTCCTGTATGTGCTTGTAAGAAATGGAGCTAATATCAAAGCCGCAGGACTTCAGAGCCCCCTCCCCAGTGTTCAACAGTTTTTGAGGAAAAGCAATGTAATTGTAATAGCCCTGGAATGTTTACCTTCCTGGTTCTGATAAATAGTATCTCATGGTCTCTGAATTAACAATACATGCAGATAACATTTTTTTCAAGTCCATGGACTTTGCCACACAAAGGCTGTAACCTACTATTGACAGGCTTGTGAACTTGGGTGTGGATCATGTTATAAGGGAAAAAAGAGCTCCAATTCTTCACACATCCTTGAAATGTGAAGAACTTCAGTGCCTGAGCTCTTTAACTAACCCCGAGTATATATGTGAACACAGGGTCCGTGTAAGTGACAACACAGCTCAGATGGTCAGGGCTTCACAGTGTTTGGCACCAAGCCCTTGAAGCTCCCATTTGGTAGTGGAAAAACCCTCAACTATTTCCTATCGTTATGTGTGTGGGCAAAAGGAAGTTGTGGAAAATATCCCAGTGATATTGCAAAACATTGCATTCCTAGCTAGTGGTTCCCCCCCTAACTTTTGTCTTTTTTTTTTTCTTTCTTTGTATAGTAGACTCTTAAATTTAGTCATGGAAGACTAAAAGAGAGACTAGTCAATCTCCATTGAGTTCAGAAGCAACCTGAGCATCTCATTCTAAAATGACACCAACAGTTTTACAGAGTGATCCAGTCCAAGAGCTACTATGCAGCAAAGGAATGAACCAAGTGGAAATATAATTCACAGCTATTTCTGAGAGATATGAATTTTCACTAGCTCCAGACTCCCCAGTGTCCTGAGTTGGGAACAGGGCACATTTCTAGTGATTTTCTCAGTGTAGTCTCTTCCTCCAGAAAAACAGACTTTCCCAACCACACCTTCAGGTTACTACAGAAAACCAGCTTCTCATTTTGGGAGTTTCAGTTCCCTCTCTGGTACTGGAGAAGAGAAGTTCACTTTTAACCCGAAGTCTTGCCCATTGGAACAGAATATGCAACATTAAAGAATACAAATTCAAGTCAGATGTCCGTGTTTAGCACACATCCATTGCACCTTTATATGGTCCCTGACTTCAAGGGATTTGGATGGAATTAGGGAGAAAAGAAAACCCACCCAAGGATCTACTGGAAGCTTTAGCAACCCAAACTCATCACTTGTCATTTTCATTTGAAACTTAGTGTTTTTGATCAGTATATCCTCCTTATATTTTTAAGAATTAAGATGATGCAAGTTTTCCCATTACAGAGGTGGGGAGACAAACTGGGGCTGGGTGGACGGGTTTGTCCAAGTTCTTATCACCAGATACTCTTAGGAAATAAACGTGCCTCTTGCCTCCTTTCAAAGCAAGAGAAGAATGAGAAAAGCTGAAAGCTAATCCTAGGTCCATCCCTGAGGAGGAGGCTTTTAATGTGAAGCTCTGTAAAAATGTAAGTTTCTAATGAAAGGCACTTCCTCTTATCAGTTCCTACCTCTTTTGTAAAGAATCATACCTCCAGGGGGAAAAGGATCCCCCTGACCTCTGACAATGGCCTCTTGGAAACCATTCTGCAAAGAACTAAAGTGTCTGCCGGCAACTCCTAATTGACAGTGAACAGTTTTTTTCTTCCACTAAGGAAGGCTAGAAGGTAACTAATATCTACTGAGCACCTCCTAGGCACTTTGACACCCCAGATTGCCTCGCCACAAGCCTGGCTCCTGTAGGAATGTCTTCACCCATTTCACAAATGAGGAAAACTGAGGCTCGTGAGGGGTCAAGAGACATGGCCAAGCACATGGAGCATGGGAGAGTCAAGGCCCAGGCAGAAGCGCAGGAGTGTCGGACCCAAACACCTCCCTCTGACTTGCTTTGGTAGCAGACATGTCACCTTTCTCAGGGAGCTGCCGTTGCCTGGTTTCTCACTTGGGCAGCGATCAAGGAAGTTTCCCTGTCACCCCATGTATTCCCTTTTGTGCTGGGGGAATGGCCAAGGGCACTGAGACCAAGTGCTTCCCTCATGTGTGTCTCTCCAAATCCCTGTCTATCACAGTATGTCAGCCCGGACAGGGCCAAGAGTGACAGCAAAAATGGCACCTCAGATGCCAACTGCAGCTCCCCACCTCCCCAAGGGCTCCTTCCCACAGTATTTTTACATCATTGGGGAAACTTACATCAAATTAAACCAATTTTTTTTTTTTTTTAAATGGAAGGAAAGCTATGTGTCTGCTTTTCTTCTCCGCTGGGAGACCCCGGGTGTTTGTAACGCAAACTCTCCGGCAGGGCGCGAGTGGGGTCAAAGCTGAATGAAGAGCTCCGCAGAGCCTCCCACACTTTCCAGACAGCAATGGCCAGTCCTCTTCTTTAGACTGGCCTGTCTTCTTCTTGAATGATGTCACTATGTTGCTCACTGATGTCATCTGTTCAGGGGGGGAAAAGAGACCCGACTGAGTAACCTCTGGAGTGTGACTGTTTCCATGCCCGTCCTGATTTCTTCTAAAAGAGACCTGACTGAGTAACCTCTGGAGTGTGACTGTTTCCATGCCTGTCCTGATTTCTTCTTTCCTGAGGAGCCACGGAATGGGAATTCATGGGCTGGGTGTTCATTCTCCTGTTCTCTTAATTCAAAGTCCTCTAGATCTGCCTAATGTTTTACCCACCATGTTCCTGATTCCTGCCTCCCCTAAATCCGCTTCCTCCTTTCTCTTACTGAGATTCCACTGTTCTTTTCTTTTTTTTTTCTTTTTTTAAGAGAGAGAGAGAGAATTTTAATATTTATTTTTTAGTTTTCGGCGGACACAACATCTTTGTTTGTATGTGGTGCTGAGGATCGAACCCGGGCCGCACGCATGCCAGGCGAGCGCGCTACCACTTGAGCCACATCCCCAGCCCCAATTCCACTGTTCTTAAAGACTTGGCGCCACCTTCACCTCCTCTATAAAGCTGCTCCTGATGGACACTGCCCTCCGAGCACTCACCCTCCTCTGAGGTCCTGTAATTTTTAAACATTGGCCACCAGGCAATTAATCTGATCCTTCCTATGATAGCTCCTCTCCTGCCGTTCGAAAGCACTGGTTAAATCTTGCTTCCGTTTCAGTTTTCCACGTTTCCATCTGTTTATCCCAACTGGTCTTATAAAGCTCCCGCACAGAGACACTGTGGGTCTTTCTTTTCTATCCAACAATGCCAATATTGTGCCTTTCCCAGAGCAGGCCTTGATGAGCATTTGTCACCTGGATTTCTGTGTTCATTAATACATATTGAGTATTCCTTACAATGCTAAGGACCAGGAGGGTTTCAGATTTCAGATTTTGGAATTTTCATGTATCTTGAGGATGAAACCCAAGTCAAGATACAAAAATCTAGCCAGGCGTGGTGGCACAGACCTGTAATCCCAGCTGCTCTGGAGGCAAGAGGATCATGAGTTCAAAGCCAGCCTCAGCAATTTAGTGAGGCAGTAAGTAACTCAGTGAGACCCTGTCTCTAAATAAAATACAAAAAAAGGCTGAGGATGTAGCTTGGTGGTTGAGCGTCCCTGAGTTCAATCCCCAGTACCCCCCCCCAAAAAAATTACAAAATCAAGTTATGTTTCATATATTCCTTTTATACATGGTCTAAGGCAATCTTATATTGTAATAATTTTGTATACAAAACAGAATTTGTATACATTGAACCATCAGACCTATGGTATCATTGCAGCACCTATGGTATCATTTGCATTTTGGATTTGGGGGCTGGAATGTTCAGCCTGCACTAGGTTCTCAGGTTCTAGACTACATTTTTGCTATATTTCCCAGCCTTTAAAAAAACCAAGCTTGCTCCTTGGAGATCTCTATGGGTGCTCACTGCATAGATCCCCGTGTCACAGCAGGAAAGGGCTCACCTTGTAGATCCTGGAGTCTGTTTCCCATCTGCTCTAAGTTCCCATTTACCAATGCGGTCACTCTGTGAATGTGGCCATGTTTGTGCATTTCTTTTGGCAACTCTTCTCTTTCATTGGTCTCCTCCTCCTCTTCCTCCTCCTCCTCCTCTTCCTCTTCCACATCCTCCTCTTCCTCTTCTGAATCCACCAATACCATGACATCACCCATGTCTTGTCCCCTAATTTCCAAAGCAGGAAAAACAGTCAAGAAGACATCTTAGTTTTCTTGATGAACAGGCAACACCAGACACTTTGCGACTCCTAGTACTGTGGGGGGAAGGTCCTCATGCACCTAGTACCATCAAGTCATGAGATGATGGTGTGGTTTGACCTCACAGAGCTGCGGGCACAGACTGCTAGAGATGATCGCATCTTTACTACTCTGTTCCTGCTTCCTGAGCAAGTACCATGCTGTCTGTTATAGTTTGGATATGAAGTGTCCCCCCCCCACACACACACACATACCAAAGCTCTTGTTAATGCAGGAATATTCAGAGGTAAAATGATTGTATCATGAGAAACGTAGCCTAATCAGTGCATCCTAGTTTGAATGACTGGGTGGTAGCTGTAGGCGGGTGGGGCATGGTTGGAGGAGGTGGGTCACAGGGAGCATGCCCTGGAAGGGAGCATCTTCCATGAGCCTCCCTACCACACACACACACACTTTCTGACCCTGCTATGAGCCGAGCAGTTTTCCTCTGCAGGCCCTTTTCCCATGATGTACTGCCTCATCTGGGGCCCAGAGCAAAGGAGTAAGTCATCTATTGACAGATACTTCAGAAACCACGAGCTCCCAAAGAACTTTCCCTCCTCTAAATTGTTCTTGGTGGGTATTCTGGCCATAGCAATGCAAAAGCCAACTACAGCATTCTCCCGGCCACTACCATTTCAGTTACCCACACAGCATGTACATAAATGCTGCCATCTCTCCTGAAATGCCCTAATTTCAGTTCCACGTAGTGAGATCTCCTGCTCCTCAGTATTCAAGGCCTAGGTCAAGTCCTCCTTGATTTGACTCCCCAGTAAAGCCTGGCACTACACATGCATTTGGAGTCCACGCCCAGTGCTTACTACCAGCTTTGCCTTCCTAACCAGACTGCACATTTCCTAAGAAAGGAAGAGTAAGTTCCATGGGCCCATTGCAATCCTAGAAGTGTCATATTCTTGTTTCATCCTCCCCAACTCCTCTGTGGAACAGATGAGGGGAAAAGGCTCAGAGAAGGTTAAGAATTTTCATGGGCCCAGGACTTGGGAATGACACAGATGCAATTTGAACCCAGGTCCACTACATCCAAAGCCTTTCCCACAATGTCACAGTGCTACCTCTTGTGAAGAATAAGCCTGGGAATGAGAGATTCATTGGGACAATGGCCCTCAAGTGCAGGACAGTAAAGGAAATGGTTTCCCCAAAAGATGGTTCCAGACAATAATATCCATCATCAAAGAGGTATTATTGTCCATACATCCTAGAGAAGAGTCAAGTTCTTTGCTCTACCCAAGACCTCTGGAAATGAAACACACATGTTCCATTTAGAGACATTTCCCCTGTCGGGGTTTCCTCTGGGGAAGAGGCTTCTGGGAATGCTCCAACTCATCTCCCAGAACATTCTGTAAGACTATCTTATGCTTCCTTTTATTTCTTTTCAGAAAACTAAATAAAACAAATGCATGAATGACAGGACTCATGACATCATCCCGTGTCTGGTCCCCTAATTTGTGCACACTGTCTTCATGTTCCCATGACAGGGCTGCTGTGGGCCCAGCCCTGAGGTCTGGCTTTGTAAAAGCGCACCGACGCTGGGCATGATGGGACCTGGATCAGAAGGCAGACACTGCCATGTGCCTCCTGGAGGAATCACTTCCCCGAGCCTCTGTCTCCTTCTCAGGAAAGTGGAAATGCCACCACCCCCCGAAGAGGTCACAAGAGGGTTTATGGTAACGCCTCCTGAAGCTCGAGTCCAGTGTCAGGCACACGGTGGCTCCTCCACGGGAACTGCCACTATTGACTTTATGAAAGGGAGCAAACAGCAATGAAGACACAAGAAATACTCACCTGAAAGTGCTTCCTGCTGCAGGAAGAAAGGGAAAAGAAATTAATATCCAGTAACAACAGTGCAGTCTCACAGAATTTATTAAACAAACTAACATTTACAAAAGATAAACCAGGGGTGGGGAGATAAACAAATGAGAAGTTGACCCAACACGAGAGGCGACAGGGTGTTGAGGGATGGAACTTAGGTGCCTCATTACTGTGCATCTTGACCCAATGAAGATATCTATACAATGGGACTTCAGGAGGGTCGGAGTGTCACAGGGCCTCCTTCCCCAACCTACAATTATTTAAGAAGCCTGAAAGGCAAGGTGTGGAGGTGCACACCTGTAATACCAGCCACCGGGGAGGCTGAGGCAGGAGGATTGCGAGTTCAAAGCCAGCCTCGGCAACAGTAAGGTACTAAGCAACTCAGTGAGACCCTGTCTCTAATAAATACAAACTAGGGTTGGGGTGTGGCTCAGTGGTTGGCTGCCCCTGAGTTCAATCCCTGGTATGGAGAAAAAAAAAAGAGAGAGAGAACCAAAGAGACCCAAGAAGTCCTTACCTTTCCAGCAGAACATGGGGCTATAATACAACATGAGCCCTGAGACAATGGCCAGTCCCAGCAGGAGGAGGCTGATGATGGTTCCCACAATGCCCCCGATGTTCAGAGGCTCTGTAAAGACAAAGCACACTACTGACTCTTCAGCTTGATACGTGTGCAACTAGGAAAGAACACCTCCCCTTCTCTGCCAAAGTCCAGCTCTCATCTTACCTGTTTTCATGACCTTGAGCAAAGCACATGACCTCTCTGTGATATGATCAGAATACCTCATCTCCCAACCTCAGAGTTTGTGGGAATCAAACGAAGCACATGATATGAAAGAATGCTAAGAAGTTAAAATCTCTGTGCCAACCAGACATCAAGGCTGTGTTCAAGACATGGTGAGGGTGTGCATTATCAGTGCCGTGGTAAACACAGTGATCAATGGAACAGCATGGAGAGTCTAGGCATCTGCCCGCACATACAGAGACACTGGATGCATAACAGAACAGTGAGCAGAGGAATCACAGTTCAAGAAATGGTGGTAGAACAAATGGTTATCCATTTGGATAACTGGGAGAGGGGGAAAAAAAACAAAGAAAGAAACATGATCCCTACCTCACACCATTCCCGAAAATCAATTCCATGGTCACTAGAGATTTAACTGTGAAAGGCAGAATGTTACAACTCTTAGCAGAGAATACAGGAGAATGTCTTTATGACTCTGGGATAGGGAAGGATATCTTTAAGAATATGTCAATTCTTAAGACATAAAAATTGCTAATGATATTCGAAAAGTTTCATAAAGTCAACTACATTAAAGTGAGGACATTCTGTTAATCAAAGGAAATCATAAAATGGAAGAGACAACAAACTAAAAGGAGATGTCCGTAACATGTAAAACTAACAAGGAATCAGTAAGAGAAATTTCTAAAGAACTCTTACATCTGTAAGAAAACAATGTCAAGATACACATATCTCCTTACCAGAAGAAACACAAATAGCTAATACACATAAGATAAGGCTCAAAACCTTCTTAGTAATCAGGAAAATTCAAGTGAGAACCACAACGAGGTCCCAGTTTTCACACACTAGCTGGGCAAAAATCACAAATCTGCTGGTAAAACGCAGAACAAGTCAATGCTCTTATAAACTGCTAGAGGGAACGGAAACTGGAACAACCACTTTGGAAAATAATTGGGCATTATCTCATAAATATAAAAGTGCATGTACCCTATAAACCCTTTACATGTCCTAGAGAAATATCTGCCTGGGTACCTCATATACATGTATATGAACTAAGTAAAAGACATTCACAGCAAAACTATCATAACAAGAACAACAACAAAAACCAAAAAATGAATGATAGTGTGGAATGATGACACAATGGAACATTATACAGTGGTAAAAAAGAATGAAGTATGATTACAACCATCAGCATGAATAAATCCTAGAAACAAGAGGGGGAGGGAAAAAAGCAAGTCACAAAAAAAATAGAAAGAAATGTATATGTGTGTGTGTGTGTGTGTGTGTGTGTGTGTGTATCAGGGGGGACAGGAGAACCTTTTCTTTAAAGAAAAATATTGGAGCAGTTTTAGGTTCATAGCAAGATGAGCAGAAAGTAGAGAGAATTCCCACACATCCCATCCCCCCACAAACAACCCCCCCACCCCGCACTATCAGCACCACCCCAACTTGAGCAGTACTTTTTCACAACTGATGAACCTACACCAAGACACCGTGGTTTACACTGGGGCTCCCTCTTGGTGTTCTACATTCTATGGGTTTGGATAGATGCATAATGAGAAGTGTCCATCCTTATTTATCATAAAGATTCCCACTAACCTAAAATGCTCTGTGTCCATCCAACCCCCTCCTTCACCAACCCTTGGCAACTACTGGTCTTTTTACTAGCTCCATAGTTTTATAAGGTATGTAGCCATAACAACCATTTTTTGACTCTCAAAACAAAAATATTTGGAAATGTGTACCGTTACGGTTTGGATCTTAAATATCTCCCCAAAATGATGAGGCCAAATGATCATGGACCAAAACCATTAGCCAAAATAAATCCTTCCTACTCTCAAGTTGTGTATCTCGGGTATTTTGCCACAGCAACACAAGGCTAACTAACACAGGTATCTAAGGTAGTAAAGTGGTTTTTTGTTGTTGTTGTTTGCTTTGTCTTTTAAATAAGATTGGGGGGGCTGGGGATGTGGCTCAAGCGGTAGTGTGCTCGCCTGGCATGCGCAGGGCACTGTGTTCGATCCTCAGCACCACATAAAAATAAAATAAAGATGTTGTGTCCACCGAAAACTAAAAAATAAATATTAAAAATCTCTCTCTCTCTCTCTTTCTCTCTCTCCCCCCCCCTCAAAAAATAAAAAATAAAAAAAATAAGATTGGGAAGGGGCTTCAAAGTGGGGTTGCAGATAAAATACAGGATGCCCTATGAAATTTGGATTTCAGATGAAAAAAGTACTTTTTAGCACAAGTATGTTCTATGCGATGTTTACAGATGTATACTTTAAAAATATTCCTTGTTTTTCTGAAATTCAAGTTTCGGTGTGTTTTTGGTCCCATTGCTTCTGAACCCAGTCCCATGACCTTACAGGTGACTTCACCAGTCTCGACACTGCCCTTGTACCTTAAGTGGGACAGTCGCCTCTCGGCTGTTCATTTGGCTGTCCTGCTTTCCGACTGACACACACTGGGTACCCACGTCCTGTGGTGTTGCGAGAGATGATATAATCTTGCTGCCTAAGCGAATGTTCCTGGACAATCGTTTCCCCCAGCCCCCTTGCAAAGCCACAGGCAGGAGGTATGCTGTCTCCCATCAACAGTGGCCATATGCAGGGAGGTCCCAGGCTGTCCCCGTGCTGGTGCGGCCCTCTTCCCCGGGGGCCAGTCCCAGTACTCACCTTTCACGCTCAGCCAGATGTCCACCTCGCGCACCCCCACAGGGTTCTCAGCCCGGCACACGTAGTAGCCTTGGTCCAGGTCCTGGGAGCAGTTGTGCACAGTGAGGGAGGAGCTCTGGCCGTTCTGGGCAATGAGGTAGTGGCTGTCGGGCTGGATGACCACCTCGGGCTGCGTGAGGTTCCTCAGCCACTGGATCTTGGCAAAGGGGTAGGCGCCCGTCACCTGGCAGGTGAGCGTCACATTGCCCCCCAGAAAGCAAGTTTTCATGGGCTCAGAGAAAACGGAGGGACCCCCTGGTGACCAGAAGAAGGTAGAGAAAGAGAAATGTTTAAGGACACTCGAGCCATGGCCTGAGTTCCTTCGATTGAATCATTCCTATGACTTCCTCCTGATGAAGCGTCTCCAGGAGGTGGGCATCACACCTGGTCTGACAGAATAGGACCAGCCGACATTCACTGAGGAGTCACCAGGAGCGGTTACGGATATTACCCAACTCACTCCCATACAACCTGGAATCACCCCCATTCTGCAGATAAGGAAACCGAGGCCCAGCCAGAGTTAAGCTCAAAGTCACACGATGAAATAAGAGACATAGCTAAGATATAAGAGCAACCAACTGTCCCAATTTGCTCAGGACTGGGAAGGTTCCTGGAATATGAGGGTTTTGGTGCTAAAACCTGGAAAGCTTTTAGGCAGAACAGAAGCTGGTGACTCTGGGTGAGCCTGGAACCCAAGCCTTGTAAGCCTCGTATAATCTTATTTCTACACTGTGGGCGTCTCTGCAAAATAACTACACTCATCATACCCAACATGGACATGCAGTCCAGTGAGGCTGTTCAAGAGAATGGGCAACTGTATTTGTTTCCTATTGTTGATGTGACATATTGCTACTAACTTAGTGGCTTAAAACAAATGAATCTCCTGAGTTCTGGAGGTCAGAAGTCTGAAATTATCTCATAGGGCTAAGATCAAGGTGTTGGCAGGGCTGGTCCTTTCTGGAAGCTCTGAGATTGATTTCCTAGCTTTTTTTTTTTACTTTCTCGAGGCTCTGCCCACACTCCTTGGCTCGTGGCCCCTTCCTTGACTTACACCAAGCTCTTGCTTCTGGGATCACATCACCTACTACTGACTCTGACCTCCGGCCTCCTTCTCATAAGGATCCTGGACATTATTTTGGGCCCATCTTGATAATCCAGAATGACACCACCCACACCCTTAACCACATCAGCAAAGTCCCTTTTGCAATGTAAGACAACATTCATAGGTTTTAGAGGTCAGGACACAGACATCTGCCCTAAAGAACTTAGAACATGTCAGTCTTGTGGCTTTGGGTCCTATTTGGGGAGCTAGGAGGGCTGTGACAGTGACCCCTTTGTGTTCTCTGAACAAGAAGATTGTCCTCAAAATGCACACCTCCGGGGGAGGTAGCAGATTCCCCTGGGGGTTTTATTAAGTCCAAACTTCCGGCATCTGAAGGCCAGAGTGGCCCTCTGGCCTCCTGCCATGGAGGGGGAAGGCAAGCTCCCCTCAGCAGCTGCTCCCAGGAAGAGTCCAGGGTTCCACAGCTGCTTCCTGGGGAGAAGGAAAGGAAGAAGAGGGAAAGGGCCAGGGAGGCTGGGATGGCCTAATGCCTCCCTCTCAAGGTCAGGTCAACAGAAGGAAATCCCCCGCTGGGTCTGCTTGGGACACTCGCATGTGAGCTCTCCTCCCTGGGTCCACGGTCAGGTTTCTGAATCCCATCTCCCCTCTCTGTGGTTACCCCAGATCTCCTTCAGGGTCATAAAACCAGCAACAGTGACAAGTCTCAGCAATACTGTCTATATTTCAGGGCCCCCAAACCAAAATCTCAAAAATGGCTCCCTTATCCTTAAACAATGCCCTGGCGACCCCTCCCTATAGCCCCCCCCCCCACAGGTCATGTACCTGACTATACTTCTGCCAAGTGGAGTATTCATGCCTCTGAAATCTGAGCTGCCACCCACCCACCCCAAGAGGAGGATGCTGTGGGTGAGGCAGGTGGGGAGGAAGGAGTGGGGGCCCTCAGAGATCCCCAAGACATGGAAGAAATACTGGGGTCTTCACACTTGGGCTGGCCAAGAGAGCAGCTTATCCCGAGGTGAGCTGGAGTCTTCAGTGCATAGATCTCTGCCACTAAAACTGGGCCCAAAGACACGTACCTATAGTCCCAGCTACTCAGCAGCCTCAGGAGGACTGCTTGAGACCAGAAGCTGAGCCAACCTGGGAAACCACAGAAAGACCCCATTTCTTAAGAAGTAAAACAGGGCTGGGAGTGTAGCTCAGGGGTAGAGTGTTTGCTCTGGGAGAGAGAGATCAATCTGAGCCTCAGGAACCCCTAAAACATCACTTTTCTTCATCTTGGGAGCTACGCTGTGCCATGTTCACTGAGGTGACATCAGTGTTACCTTTCAACCACTTACTAGTCCTCTCAGCTGAAATGATTCCGCCTCAAGAGACCTCCCTGCTGACCAAGGGAAAGTGGCCCTTCTTACATAGGGCTCTCTGCACATACCATTTTATTTCCATAACTGTCACTATCTGAGACCTCTCCCACTTGCTTTTGCACTTCCTGACTTCCTTTCGTCCCTATCCCTCCCAGGATTTAAACTCTAAGAAGAATGGTTTTATTCTGACACTCCTCCCTTCCAAAAGTGAAGCCTAATAAATCTCCCCACTCCTCTTAAATGTGGGCTTGACTTAGTGAGCTTTTCTAATAAATACACTGTTTCAGAAGGGCTGCCGGGTATCTCCTAGGGCAACCTGGTAAACAAGGAAGCTTTTTGGATCACTGGCTCTGGGGGAAGCGGCCACCATGTTGGGAGGCACTCAAGCATCCTTGAGGAGAGTCCCACATGGAGAGGATACAACTTGCTAGGCCTGTGAATAAAAAAAACCTGTAAGTGCATCTATCCCATGATTTCAGCTCCCTAACCTTCCAGCTTCTAGCTGAGACCTCACCATTATGGAGATGAGATAAACAACCCTATCACTGACCCACAGAAGTCATGAGATGACAAATGGACCTTATTGTCTTAAGCCACTAAGTTTGGGGGTAACTTGTTACATAAGAGAGAACTAATGAGCCTTGACTGTCTCCTTCAAACTCTCCATCTTCAGCGAGTAGTAACTATGCCTGGCTCAGCAGGGGCTCAATGAGATCTGTCTAGTGAAAATCAGCTTCAACTAGAACCAAGAGTCTTAACCAGGCATCTCTAGAGTTTGGAAGGAAGGAAGCATAAAGTGCAAGGAGGGAAGAAAAGGAAGGAATCCGTTCACTCTGACCCACTGGGATTTCTTTCCCAGAACTACTTCCAAAGGATTCTCTCAGAAGAAAGGAAGGCGGGTGAAGGCCAGCCCCAGACACAGCAAGCCAGACTCACGGATCTGTACCACACAGCTGGCTCCGGACTCTGGCCCCATTATGTGGCTCCCAACGCACTTGAACTTCTTGCCATCCGACAGCTGGGACAGGTTCAGCAGCTCCATCCCCAGCTCTGACTCCCCCACGATGGCCCCTCCTGGCTCTTCTGTCCACAGGAAGTTAGGGTTAGGGTATCCCCCATCCCAGTGGCAGGTGAGATTCAGTGCCAACGATCCTGACGATCCTGACGGCATCTCTGCCGAGCACTGAGGAGCTGACGGAGGGGGCCCTGCAAAACACAAGGGAGTGAGGGCTGAATCGCAGTAGCCGCGGGGCAGGCACTAGGAGCTCCAGAGCCAGGGCCTCTGAGAGGCACCAACTCCAGTGAGTCTACCCTGAAATAGCACAGAGCACGAATTGGTGCCTGTATTAAATCTTTGAGGACCTGGGTCTCATTCATCTTTGCATTTCTCTCCAGCCATGTATGGCTATTTAAATGTAAATTAATTACACAAAATTACAATGTGGATTACAATTAACCACAGGTGACAAAGAGCTGAGCCACAAGCAGAGCATGTCCATGATCACCAAAGTTCTCCTGGATGAGCTGGTCCTAGGCACTGATAGCGGTTGCCTCTGGCCAAGGGAAAATGAAGGACATGAAGTCGCTGGTAGAGACTTATTAATTAGCATATAGAGTCAATATGTATATTTGTTATGCATTGTTGTAGATTTTGTTATATAAATAAACAGAAAAAAAAATTTGAAGCTGAGCATAATGGTGCCCACTACCCAGGAGGCCAAGGCAGGAGGATCACAAGTTTGAGGCCAGCAGTCCTTGGCAACTTAGCAAAACTCTGTCTTTAAATTTAAAAAAAAAGATAGGACGGGGGATGTAGGTCAGTGGTAAAGCACCCTGGGTTCAATCCTCAGTACAAAAAAATAAATAAGAGGACCAGGCGTGGTGGTGCCTGATGTAATCCCTGAGGCTCAGGAGGCAGAGGCAGGAGGATTGCGAGTTCAAAGCCAGCCTCAACAATTTATCAAGGCATTAAGCAACTCAGTGAGACCCTGTCTCTAATAAAATACAAAATAGGGCTAGGGAAATGGCCTGAGTTCAATCCCTGGTACCAACATAAATAAGAAATAGGAATTTTGGATTTTTATATTCTTTTATTAATAGACATGTAACATCTACAAGAAAAATTATTGGAAATGTACCAAAATAATACTTTAGATGATTATTTTCTTCTTTATGCTCACCTGTGATTCCTACAAAATTATATACTATAAATGTCATTAATAACAGAGAACATGGAGACCTCTAAAAGCTCTGGATAGGGGTTGGGGATGTAGCTCAGTTGGCAAAGTGCTTGCCTCACATGCACAAGGCCCTGGGTTCAATCCCCAGCATCATAAAAATACAAAATAAAAAGCCTCTCATTTCCTGTCCCGACATTCCCCTTCATTGGCACGGGTTATGAGTGTCCCCGGTATCTCTGCAGTGGTTTGCATCCATGATATTTGTGTACAGGACTGTCGGGTTGGTGGATCCCCATCTCCAAAATGAAGACTCCCAACTGCTGGTTCCTAACAGGGAGCCTGGGGGCTACTGGGAGGCAGGGGACACTTTAAGAGGTAGCACCTAGTGGGAGGCTTTAGGCCCTTCCCCTTCCTGCTGCCAGGAAGTAGAGTCCTCCTCTACTACAGGCTCCCACCATGATAGACTGCACCTCCCCAGGCCCAAACAACAGGGGCCCATCGGCCATGGACCAACACCTCCAAAAATCAACCTTTCCTCTTCATAAGTTGCTTATCCCAGGAATTCGTCACAGTGGTGGGGAGCTGACACAAAACTAGGCGGATGGCTGCAGAACACTGTGAATGTATTACGTGCCAATGTGTCATACATTTTAAAATGCACTGTTAAAAAAGAAGAAGAAAAAAGATTGCCCACAGCTCAGCACTGTCCCTTCTGTGGCTTGCAGGGACTCTCCTGCATCCCTGGTTAGGGGCAAGCATTCAGAAGGGGTAACTCCCCATGTGACAGCAGCAGCCCCAAGGGCAAAGGTGTGTATTGAGAGACCCACAGAGACCATCAGGACCCACCCAGCAGGCGAGGAACGCTGCACAGAGAAAAGGAGGAGGCACGAGATGCTGTCACAGAGGGTGGGGACTCTTACGCACAGTAGACCAGGAGCTCCGTGGTCACCTCTCGCTGTCTCCCGCTGAGCAGGTTCTTGGCCATACAGGTGTAGTTCCCTTGGAGGTTTTGTGACATCAGCAAGAGCGTGAAGCAGTTGACCGTCAGGTTTGTTCCCAAGGACTCCGACCTGACAGGGGTGCTAAAGGACCACTCGACCTCGGGCGGAGGCTGGGAGCCGCTGCTGCAGCTGAAGTCCACCTGGGAGCCCTTGGCAGTGTAGAGGGTGCCGTTGGGGAGGATGCCAGCAGCAGAGATGTTGACCTCGATCTGATAGGGGCCACCTGGGGTGACAGGAGGACAAGGAAGGCAGGCATCACTGAGCATGCGGTTGAGCTCCTGGCAGGCTCTAACAGACACAGAAGTGATCCGCTACTAGATTCCAGGTGTTTTCCTTGAGTTGGGGGTCATGCTAAATTGCCTAGGCTGGCTTTGAACTTGCAATCCTCCTGCTCCAGCCTCCTGAGGAGCTGGGATTACGTGTGTGTGCCACAGGGCAGAGGAGAAGCCAGTATCTACCGAATATTGACAATGTAGCAAATGACACTCTCATTTAATCCTGGATGACTGTGAGAGTTATTGGCAGAATAAGCCCTTAGACAAAGAAGAAAAATATAAATTGTATCCCTTTAAAAAAAAATCACAGCACGTGGGAAGGATAGCTGTGCAGAAAAGAATTAACACACAAAGCCTGGCTGCTCCCTGCCACACTGTTGGCTGGGCTGGCCTGGCTGAGTCCGGAACCTGGATGTGAGAGGGTCCCAGGGACCCACCCATCCCTGAGCTCAGCTTCCACAGTACAACGGGGCTCTGCTGAACACCTGGTCTCCCTCTGGGACTCTGGGATTTGGGTGCAGGGTAGGCAGACCAGCCCCCACTAAAAATCCCTGGGCCCTGGGGCTCCAGGGAGATCATCTGGTGGGCATCTGACGCATGTCAGGATGGAAGAGTATCCTGCGCCACTCTGTTAGGAGAGAGGTGGAAGCTCTTGCCTGGAGTCCCTGGTTTTCATGTCACGTGCTTCCCCCTCTCCTAATGCCACTCTGTATTCTTCCACGGTGACAAGTCATTCTACACACTGAGTTCTGTGAGTTCTACTGGGGGTGGCTTTGGGGACTCCCTGAGTACCACACGGAAAAGAAAGCAACGTTGGTTCCAAGCCTAACTTGAAACCTCACTCACTAGCTGTGTGGCTTTGGGCCAACGACTTGCCCTCTCTCAGCCTCCGTTTCCCCATCTGTAAAAGGGGGTGATGGCGATATCGATGCCACAGCATTGTGCCCATTGAGTGAGCGAGCACGGTGGAGGACGCAGAAGAGAGTGGCCTGTGGGGAGCACTGGAAAAGCTGCCAGGTCTTGTCGGGGTCCCCCTCACGTTTCTGAATCTCTTTCTTTTCCCTGGAAATGCTGCCTGCTGCCGTGCCCAGGGCACCTAAGACGGACCCTTTGATGGAAAGAAGGTCTGCCACCTGGAGGGTAGCCCCGTGGTGGAGCAAGTGCCCAGCATGTGGGAGGCCCAGGGTTCCATCCCCGGCATCAAAAGGAAAAAAGAAGAAGGAGGGGAAGAGGAAGATGGAGGTGGCTCATCTGCAGAGACCTAGAATTATTTGTCAATTAGAAAATTTTTAAAAAGATGGTATCTAACAGTTGCTCGTACCAAAATAACATCATGTGCTCCCTCTCCCAGAGACAGTATCTTTTAAAAAGAACATTCCAGAAAGGGCAACTTGACAAAGGAATAAATCTACGGTTGTAGAATTCTGAGCAGAACTAGGCCAGTGAGAAACTTGTGGGAGGTTTTCCCACAGAGAGAGCCCCTCAGAGCAAGCGCCTACTTTAGCACATCCTGTTTCCCTGAGGCCACTGTGTGACTATAGAAATGGTGGGTCTGCAAGGACAGCACTCTTGACAATATGCTTGTCAGGCTGGGGCTGGCTGGGCATAATGGCACACGCCTGTAATCCCAGCCACTTGGGAGGCTGAGGCAGGAGGATGGTAAGTTGGAGGCCAGCCTTAGCAACTTAGTGAGGCCCTAAGCAGCTTAGCGAGACCCTGTCTCAAAATGAAAAATAGGGCTGGGGTGGTGACTCAGTGGTAGAGTGCTTGCCTAGCATGCTGTGAGTCACTGGGTTCAATCCCAGGCACCACATAAAAATAAACAAATAAACAAAGGTATTGTGTCCATCTACAACTAAAAAAATTTTCCAAAGAAAAAGAAAAAAAAAAGTCTGGGGATGTGGATGGGTGGTAAAGTGCCTCTGGGTTCAATCCCCAGAACCAAACCAAGCGAAACAAAACAGGGGCTGGCTCCAAACGCTGCAGGGGACCTGCTAGAGTCATTCACTTCCCACAGAGGGTCTGGGGACAGGACTGTACTGAGCCAGAGGTGCTCAGGTGCCTCCTCCCCAGTTACTGGTGAGTGGTTAGGGACGTGGCTAGTTGGTTAGGTATGTGGACCAGCAGGTCCCAGGGTGTGCCTGAGGCTGGCGGGCATCCAGATAAGCACAGAGCACCTCTGAGCACAGTGGCCAACGCCTAGGCCAGCAGAGGTAATGTGACTCAGACTCATCGACGGGGTCTTCCAAATGGTGATCTGGGGGCCCCAGAGGCTTAATAATGGATAGTGTGGACCCCCAGAAACCAGCTGGGAGGGACCTTGGACCTGCACAGTTCTCAGCAAGAAATGGAGTTGGTTACAGTGAATGAGAAGGATTTAAAAAAAAAAAAATCAAAGAAGAACCCAAAGGACCTCTGAATCATGGAGTTTTCCCAGAGCACGGCTCACCTATCAAGCCCTTAGGCGAGTCTGCTTTCTTGAAGGAGGCTGACAGCACCCTCCCGATTCCCTGGGGACCTTCCTCTGCCCTCCCTTAATACACAGGAGCGGGTATGGGCTAAGGATCTCCTATTCAAAATGCTCGGGACCAGAAGTATTTCAGATTTGGGGGTTTTTCCAGAGTTTGGAATATTGGCACGGGCTTGTTGGTGGAACATCTCCTATCTAAAACTCTGAAACTTTGGGAGTGTCATGTCATGCTCAAAGTTTCAGACTTTTTTTTTTCTTTTTTGTACCAGAGATTGAACTCAGGGGCACTCAACCACCGAGCCCCATCCCCAGCCCTATTTTGTATTTTATTTAGAGACAGGGTCTCACTGAGCTGCTTAACACCTCACTTTTGCTGAGGCTGGCTTTGAACTCACGATCCTCCTGCCTCAGCCTCCCAAACTGCTGGAATTACAGGCGAGTGCTACCAAGCCCAGCAAGTTTCTGATATTAGAGAATTTTCTATTGCAGATTTTCAGACTAAGGATGCTTAACCCAAACAAACTTCCTTCCCGCCTCTTCTGGCTGCACCCAAAAATCCCTAAACAGCAACCACCAACCTTTTTTGCTTACAGAGTCACGGTAGCGGTCATTCAGAAAGACAGATAGATGGGGGAGGAAACGAAAATAAAAAGGCAAATAAATAAAAATCCATAGTAGTTACAGAGGTCCAACATCTCATAATGGCCGTGGTCACCATCGGGGACAGATCTTAGCGCACTTTCCCATGGATGCCTTTGCCTAGTGACTACGAGCTTGTGCTCTGAATTCACACTGACTGGGCAGGAATCTTGCCGACTTAGAGATGGACAATTTGGACAAGCCCATCCCCCTCATTCTCACTTTCCTGTCCTCCCTGTAAAATGAAAAAAACACTAATAATTCCTTGGGTTGTTGAAGAGTTCAGTAAGATAACATAAGCAGAGTCTGGTTAACAGCCAGCAATAGATTGATTCTAGAACAGGGTCAGAAAAATGATAGCCCCCCCCTCCCGCCCCGTTTTCCTATGGCCTCTGAGTTAAGAGTACTTTTTACTGATGAACACTTGCAATCAATTTAATGAGAAAACTATTTAAACATTTCAATTAAAAAGTTGGGGATGGGCCAGGCACGATGAAGCACACCCATAATCCCAGTGGCCTGGGAGGCTGAGGCAGGAGGACGGTGAGTTCAAAGCCAGCCTCAGCAACTTAGCAAGGCGCTAAGTAACTCAGTGAGACCCTGTCTCTAAATAAAAAGTTTTTAAAAAGGGCTGGGGATGTGGCTCAGTGGTTAAATGCCCCCTGGGTTCAATTCCTCGTACAAAAAAAAAAAAAAAAAAAAAAAAAGTTGGGTACTGTTGCTCATGACTGTAATCCCAGCACCTCGGGAGACTGAAGCAAAAGGATCACAAGTTCAAGACCAGCCTCCGCAATTTGCTGATACCCTGAGCAACTTAGTGAGAGCCTATCTAAGTAAAAAATTAAAAGGGCTGAGGATAGGGAGAAGTGATAGAGGGTCCCTGCGCTCAATCCCTCATACCACAAAAGAGGGGGGTAAAAAAGTATTGTTACTGTGTTTTGAGTCTTGTCAGAAAAAAAAATCTGTTTTGTTTCTTACATGTACCTTTAATTTTGCCCATGAGGTCTAAAAGTTTTACTGGGTGGTCCTCTACAGAAAAAGCTTGGCGGGTGGTGCTCAGGAACCATCTACCGCTGCTTCCTGTCCTCCACTGCCATCCTTGACATCGGGACCCCATTCTCTTCTTCCCCACCCTGACGACAGGTTGGCCCATCAAGGGTCCCACAGAGGTCAACCTCTGTCTCCTGGGTTCCCTTGGTAACAGCAGAGTCCAGCTATTTACTCTTCAGTACCAGCATTTTTATTTGAAAACAACCTAAGAATATTATGTGTGTATGAATATATAACAAAGAATCCCACTGTTATGTATAATTATGGTAGACCAATAAAAAAAATTAAAAATAACATAAAAAGAATATATCATACAGTCTCTGCTCACCAGGGACGTAGCTGTAGTTCTACGCGGGATAAGATCCTCGGGAAAATTTACAGAGATGATTTTGGTATCACTCTTATAGGCAAAAGTAACAACCCCACTTCCTGTGACTGTCAAGGTCATTTCAAAAGCCCAACACAGAGGTCTCAGCTCCTCGTGAGCACCCATCTCTGCTCTAAACCCAAACCAATCAATCCTTTGGGCAAGAATCTCCCCGCCTGCTGGCCGGAAGGACCACTTCTCCTTGGTGGATCCAACATTCCCTTTCCCAAGACCCTAAGCCAGATACTCCCTCTCTGGGAAGATTGTCAGGAAGGTCATTTGGTGGAGCAGACGGGAGCACTTCCTGTTCCCCATCCTTCGGGGGCTCTTAGATTGATAAAAACCAGTTTCTTGGCCCTGCGTGGTGGCACCCGCCTGTCATCCCAGTGACTCAGGAGGCTGAGGCAGGAGGATCATGCATT